CTTCCTAAGAATGAACCTGCATGAAGTTGCAGGGATCGTCGGCTTTGCGGACAACGCGTTGATCGTGTGCACTGCCGACTCGGCGGTAGCTCTGGGCAAATTGGTGAACGAATGTCTGCGGCTAGCAAAATGCTGGCTGGAAACCAGAGGTCTTCAAATGGCTCTGGAAAAGACCAAAGCATTGCTGGTCACAGACAGACGTGGTTATAAATCCCCACCCCACATAGCACGTCTTCTTTCTATGAGGTTACTGTAAGGATATCTGTAGGGTTTGTAAGGTTACCGTGTAAGCCTACAGTAAACTTGAGGTTAACTTAAAACTTCCGCCTTACAGTAAGCTTACACAGTAAAGCTAAGGTAAGCTTAGGGGCCATTCATTAATTACGTAAGGGTCCTTAAGGGGTGGGGGGGTTTATAAAATCTCTACATGGTCTTACGTCGGGGGGTGGGGGTAAAAGCTAATCTTACGTAAGATTTTGCCAAGTATTTTCCAATTGTATTGTTGTAATTAATTTTTTAATTACATTAATATTGTTAAAAACTTACGTAAGAAGGGGGAGGGGGGTCTGAAAAATCTTATGTATCCTTACATGGAGGTAGGGGGGGTCAAAATTAGCCAAAATCGTCCTTCCGTAATTAATGAATGGCCCCTCCTTAGCGGATGGGTTCAACGCGATTTGAACGGAATAGCGTTGAAACACCGTTGGGAACACAACGGTCACTAAAAATGTTATTTAAAAAATAAAATATGATAAAGTATTTATTGGTATTTGTAGAAAAAGTGTTCATGAGTAATTTAAGACCTTATTTGTATCAATTTAATACGAAATAAGTGACATAAAAGATAAAATATGGAGCACTGTTATATCAGGGTTTTCTGTCAAATTTTTATATAATTCAATGAAAAGTGTTTTAGATAAGGTTTTTAAATAATAAAAAAGCAGTAAAAAAGTATTAATTTATTATTTTAAAGCATTTGAAAGGGTAATAAATAGTGAAAATTAATGTGTTTATTGTGTACTATTTGTGTGTATAGGACAACGTTTATCGACAGCAAGTTACAGGTTACATCGGTGAACGCTGGATGGCAGCACAGTAAACAATTAATAAGACTTTGACAAGAAAAATATTTAACCCAGTGAACGTCGATGATGCGTCTAGACACAAATAAAAAGAATGCTAAAGACTTATTGAATATTCTTAAAAAATGTTACTAGGGGGTTTTCAAATTTGATATCAGATTTCCAAAATTCAAAATACCAAATAAAATATAACGAATAGAAAAAAATTAAAACATAATCAAATTCTCCATCAGCTTGTTACTCGGGGGTTTTTGGGTTCGCTGATTACGAATATAATAACAAATTCGATTATTGTTTAATTGTTTTGATCCGCCATATTGGATCCGCCATTTTGATTTTTGGAAATCTGTTATTATATTCGTAATCAGCGACCCAAAAAACCCCCGAGTAACGTACTTCCAGAGAATTTGTTTTAAGTTTAATTTTTTTTGTTTCGACATTTTGAATTTTCAAAATTTGTTATTAGGGTAAATGTCCCAATTACTGTGATGTACAACCCAAGACCGACTTTAATGATAAAATAATAAAAGTGTAAATGAAATAATGATTTAATTCTTTTTGTTAAATCACTATTAGTGTTTATTAAAATAGAAACGATACTTTAAACTTGAAGAAATAACAAATATATTATTAAAAATATTAACTTTTTTAAAAATGGCATATGCTGGTATTACTGCAAGTTTGCATGAATTACTGCGAATGGTGTGCACCAATTACTGCAACGCTAAAAGTGTTGATTTAGAGGTTAGTTTGACTGGATAGACCACAGTAATAGCAGCATGAGAAAAATATACGCATGCTCTAATTACTGTGATAGGTTCAATTGTAACTTGAATAAATAATTTGATAATAGTCGAAATATGCATCATTAGTGAATATAATATCAAATATCATTTGGAATAAGTTTTAAAGTCATTTTGAAACAGTTTTATTTTCTCAATTACTAAGTTTTACTAATTTTATAAAAATCGCAGTAATTGGCGCATCAGCAGTAATTCATACACTTACCCTATATTCGTAATCAGCGAACCCAAAAACCCCCGAGTAGCAAGCTGATGGAGAATTTGATTATGTTTTAATTTTTTTCTATTTTGTTATATTTTATTTGGTATTTTGAATTTTCGAAATCTGTTTTCAAATTTGTAATTAGCGACCCCGAAAACCCCCCCTAGTAAAATTTTTTAAGAATATTCAATAAGTCTTTAGCATTTTTTTATTTGTGTCTAGATGCATCATCGACGTTCAGTGGGTTAAATATTTTTCTTGTCAAATTCTTGTTAATTGTATACTGTGCTGCTATCTAGCGTTCACCGATGTAACCTGTAACTTGCTGTCGATAAACGTTGTCCTATACACACAAATAGTACACAATAAACACATTAATTTTCACTATTTATTACCCTTTCAAATGCTTTAAAATAATAAATTAATACTTTTTCACTGCTTTTTTATTATTAAAAATCATATCTAAAACACTTTTCATTGAATTATATAAAAATTTGACTGAAAACCCTGATATAACAGTGCTCCATATTTTATCTTTTATTTCACTTATTTCGTATTAAATTGATACAAATAAGGTCTTAAATTACTCATGAACACTTTTTCTACAAATACCAATAAATACTTTATCATATTTTATTTTTTAAATAACATTTTTAGTGACCGTTGTGTTCCCAACGGTATTTCAACGCTATTCCGTTTAAATAGCGTTGAACCCATCCGCTAGGGCTTACACAGTAAGGTCGTGGTAAGTTTACGTGGTTCACAGTAACCTTACGGAAAACTTACAACCACCTTACCATGTAAGCTTACCACAACCTAATCATGAAGGTGTAAGCTCACCTTATCTTTACTGTGTAAGCTTACTGTAAGGCGGAAGTTTTAAGATTACCTCAAGTTTACTGCAGGCTTACACGGTAACATTACAAACCCTACAGATATCCTTATAGTAACCTCACAGAAAGATGTTGGATGGAAGGTTTAACGTCCATCACCACATGGCTACAGCGTCAAACAAGGCGATTGAATTGGTGGATAACTTAGCACTGGTGATGCCAAATGTTAGAGGCACCCGTGAGAAGAAAAGAAGACTGGTGGCGAGTGTCGTCCACGCTTAGTTGCTTTATGCAACACCCGCATGGGCTCCCTCCCTGAGAACGAAAATATGTTCTACCATCTGCAAAAAGATGCTGTCCGCGCAGAGATGCATTACTTCGCTTATAGTTTCTGCTTATTGAACAGTATCTACGAGCGCTGTGCAGGTCCTTGCGAGGCATAGGCTCGTCGAAAAATGTCAAGAAAGATGGGATGGGGAGGTAAAAGGTCGATGGACTTATCGCCTTATACCGACACTCGCCACCTGGTTAAGTAGGAATCATGGTGAAGTCTCCTACTACTTGACGCAGGCGCTGACAAGTCACGGGTGTTTTAACTCGTACCTACAGCGCTTTAAGAAAAGGGATAGTGAGGAGTTTGTTTACTGCCAGTCCCCTGTGGACAACGCAGAGCACACCCCCTATGCCTGCAGTAGGTGGGACTTAAAGAGGCAAGCCACGTTCACCGGTGTAAATTTGTCTTTTTACTTATTTTGTTTAGTGTTCCCTTTTTTTACCAATCCCACATAACCTTGGCATGCGGAAGCCAAGGTATCTGTATGCAGATATCCCAAGAATCCCTAAGCAAAAAAGAATAGTTATGATTCCATGAAAACACGTTTTTTAAGTTTCAATTAGGCAGATTGAAGAATTGCATCCATCTTTCTAGTAATATTTTGGTAACATTTTTACCCATCACAATATTACCTTTTACCCTGTACCTAAACGCATTTTACCCTCTACTTACAATTACTTTTTACCATTTTTTTTCTGTATTCTTGACTCAGTACTTTTCGGGACTTGATGCAAGTAAAACAGTTCGCTCGAAACAGTAAGATATTTACTGATATTAGATATATTTTATATAGAAATACTATATTTATCGCTGATTAAGAATTTTTGAAAATTACGAAATTGAAGAATTCGACTTTATCAGCAAAGTGACATCTATTAGATGTCATTAAAACTCCTTGGTTCAGAGTTAGGTGTTTCATGTGATAATTATATCGATATGATTTGTCGACAAATAATTATCAATTTTTGAATTAATTTTGATCTGAAAAAATAAGCTGCGTGCTCGAGTACACTGTGCATCTGTGAGGACTCGAACCTCGAACTAAGGAGGTTCGAGTCCTCACAGATGCACAGTGTACTCGAGCACGCAGCTTATTTTTTCAGATCAAAATTAATTCAAAAATTGATAATTATTTGTCGACAAATCATATCGATATAATTATCACATGAAACACCTAACTCTGAACCAAGGAGTTTTAATGACATCTAATAGATGTCACTTTGCTGATAAAGTCGAATTCTTCAATTTCGTAATTTTCAATATTTACTGATAATTTCTTATTTCAAAAACTTTGCCCAATGCTCAAAATTACTTGACACAAGAAAATAAATTTCTTCCGACTAAATTTCTTTATCGTCTTGCTTAGCACTTTAAATTTTTTTCAAAATAATCCCAATTTTCAATTTTTTTTTAATTTTCTCTTTGTCATGCAAAGCGTATTTGTGTATTTTAACGATAAATTTTCATTTTTTTGGGTTGCGATTTGAGACCAGTAGGCTGCACGGCGCAAAACCAAAGATCTGACTTTAAACGCCTGTAACGCCGCAATTTTGCAATATTTTTAATTTAATAAATTATTATACACAGCTTATATTGTACACTTTAAGGTATGCTTTATTTCAAATCAATAAACTTTACCACATTTTTGTAAGAAAATATTTAAAAAATGTGCATTTACAAGAGTTTCCCCCCTTAGAATATAGGAAAAAGTATTTTCATAAATCATCATTTTTTTCATAATTGCAGAACCAAAAAAGATCTATACCGGAAGGAGGAAGAGCGTTTTTGCTGAAACTTATGATCCGGAAGAAGATGAAGAAGATGAAGGTGTTAAGGTTCGGAATTCAATACATAATAATTTGATTTATTCCCAATTGAAAAACCCTGTACAAGAAAATGTACATGTTCAGCAGCTGAACTTGTACCTGTTCTGGTAAGAACATGTACAAGATCTTGTACAATTTTGGCACCAGAATTTGGAACAAGTTCTTGTGCGAGAACTTGTACAAAATATTGTACAAGTAAATATATTTAATATTTGTATACAAGAAAATGTACTTTTTCTTGTACTTGTTCTTGTACAAGTTCATTTTAAAAATTTTTTTTGAAAACAATGTGAGATTTTAATAATTTAGAATTATTAAAACCTTTTACTTAAGCATGCCAAAAATTATTGCGCAGCTGTAAAGTCCAAAGAAAACTACTGCACAGCCTTTAAAGTTTTTAATTTTCACTAAACGAAGACATAAATGAAATGAAATGTACGAGAAAATATACATGTTTTTGTACATTTTCTTGTATACAAATATTAAATATATTTTTGTTCACGATCTTGTGCAAGATCTTGTACAAGTTCTAATACAAGAACTTGTTCCAAATTCTGGTGCGGAAATTGTACAAGATGTACATGTTCTTACCAGAACAGGTACAAGTTCAGCTGCTGAACATGTACATTTTCTTTTACAAGATCTTGTACAGGGATTTTCAATAGGGTTTATAACTTCTTGTTAATCAATTTTTTTAACAAATTCTCATGAAACTTTATGAGAAAATTTTCTCGAATAAATCAAATGAACGTAGTATAAATATTAAATTTTGATTTTTCTAGTATTGGAATAAAATATTAAATTCATTTATTCTAATTATGATTCTAACATTATGGTTCTAAAAATAATAATTTATGTGTTCAAATTTCTCAAGTCGACCTAAAGTTTACGAAGGTTGGAATTTATTAATGTAAATATGCAAGTTCTACTAAATTTACAAATGACTTGTAAATTTCATTTAAAAATTTTCAATTTTTGCATACTAATCATGAAATTCCAAACATTATAAATATATAATTTTTACGTTTTTGAAACTTTTTATTTATTATTACACATAATTTTTATTATAAAATTGTTAAAAAATAAACGTGTTCTGGATGACCATATTTAATTTTATAAACAAAAGCTGACTCGGGTCTACTTAGTATCTTACAGGTTTAAAAAGGGATTTGAAATTTTAAACTCAAGTAGACATAATATTTGTAGTAAAAAAGAAAAATCACTTCCAAATGATTTGTATTTTTTAGTTTATTATTTTTGTTTAAAAATAAGTGTGTGCACCGAATCTTTCCTGAAAATTTAGTAAATATATTTACTTCCAATATTTTAAATATTTAATTAAAATGTTTATTGAAAGTTATGTAAAGATTTAAATGTCCCACTGGAATAAATGTTAAGCGCGAAACTTTCATTTAAATGTTCAGGAAAGTTTCACACTAAACATTTCTTTAATCAGGACATTTAAATCTTTACACTAAACTTTGCAATTAAATATTCCAAATATTGCAAGTAAATATTTACTAAATTTGCAGGAAAGTTTCGGTGCTGTGGGGGCACTTTGACCGCATAAAAAAATATGCGTTCTTTAAGAACTTTTTTGTGAAGAAAAGAAATTTTTTTTATATAATTAAAATACTTAACGTTATTATGCTACAATTAAACTACAAAAAAAATATTTAGAAATTTTTTTTAAATTGCCTGCTTGACAGGTGATTTAGCGGAGCGCTGCAAAAATCAATGGTCGTGCGGTGGGCCAAATAACTCAGTCCAGATTTGAGCTAAAATAAAAAACCAAAAAGCATTAGTTTCTGTAACCCAAAATCTAGAGAAATACGTAGCGGTTCTGTAAGAAATATTGAATATATGTATGAGTGTGATAAGATGACTCATCATTCATAGGTTTTTCTGATAAGAACCAGTCTTTGACGAGCTACCGAATCATTTGGTCGAAATAAAGAACGTTAATTGTATGATGTCGTTTTATTTCCTTACAATATCAGAAATGGGATAATCTTATCGCAGTACCTACCTTTTTCGAAAATCATTCGGACAATTTATTATAAATTTTATTCTTTTTTTGCTCGTCGTTGAACTCAATTGTTGCCTAGGGAACGCGTCGTTCGTAATTCGATGTTTAAGTAAAATTCGCGTTTTCCCAATTTGTAAAAGTTTTAAGTAAAACAAAAACTGTGATTTTATTCCGCTAAAGGTGGTTCTCCGGCAAATCACTTTTCTATAAAATTTCTTTTAATTCTAGGAAAATGTTCCTTTTTATGTACTTTATAAGTGGTAAAAAAACCAGTACCCCTTGCCATGCTAAAAACTGAGAAATTTGGGTTTAAAGTTGCACCAGTTAACATAGGATTCCTAATCTGAACATGCAAAACTCATACATTATATTAAATTTTTTAAAAAGTTTTGTTTAAATTTTTTTAAAAAACGAGTATATTGTAGAATGGAATTAATAGAATAATATAAAAAAAGTTTTAGTAGGGGTATCCATAGTAATTTTTGAATTACAACATTTTGAAGTAGAAAAGTTAGGTTATTTATAGATTTTTCAAGACAGTCAAGTATATTACTCGCTTGAGAAAGAGAAAGAAAGCACGACAGTGAAATGAGCTGTTGATTAGTATAAACTATTATTATTGTTATTTCTTTATTTTGTTCTAGGAAACAATGGGGACAATAATTTAAGTACAATACAATTCATAATATACACAAATGATAATATATAAATTCAAAAATTATATATTATCTAAAGTTGAATAACAATGATAAAGATAAAAATATAACAATCTTTGATGATTATAACAGTAGAAATCATAAAACATTCAACCAAAAATAGACTACTCTCAAGAAAACAAAAGACTAACAATTGCAGAGTGGTATTAACTAGAATAAGATTTGTTTTGTCACAAACATAACACAAAATAAAAAATTAACATTAAAATATTATGATTAAAGTTAACAAAATTTAAATAAATAGAATAAAGTTGAAAAATAATACATTTGAATTATTAAGAGCTATCAAATCGTTGAAAAGTTTAGACCTAACAATGCCAATACTTTCTGCGTTAGTAATAGAACAAGCAAGAGAGTTCTACAAAGTTATAGCAGTAACAACAAAAGAATTCTTATATCGTTCAGTTCGACAGAGAGGTGCCCTAAGTTTATTAGGACACCTTATTTCTCTCGAAGTAATTTCGCTTCTAAAAGTAAATTTTTCATACAATTAAAGAGTCTTCTTTGTATTTAAAGTTACATATGTTAAACATCTAATAAATAACAGTCTTTCACGATAAGGAGAAATATGCTCATCTCCCCTTAAATTAAAAATAAATCTCACGCATGAATTGAGAAGTTACCCAGCTTATTATTAAGTTCTTCCGTTAGATCATTATAAACAACACAACAATAGTCAAAATGAGGTAAGATCATAGAAGAGACAAGTTGGATTTTCAATTTAATAGTAAGAGCTTTTCTATTTAATTTAATATGATTCAGTATTGCATAAACATTTCTACAAATTTGACCAACAAGTTTCTTCTAAGAAAGAGTTGAATTAAAAGTAACTCTCAGGTTTTTAACTGATTGTACATAAGGAATAACTATATTGTTTATCTTAATAGGAGGAGTCTTCTTTAGATCCAAGTTATTTATGTTCTATGATGAACCAATAATAATTGAATAACCTTTATTAAGATTGATTTTAAGCTTATTTGACTTCGCCCAATTATAAACAGCTTTAACATCCTCATTAATCAGTGCTAAATTTTTTTTTAAATCATCAACATAATATATATGCTTAGTATGCAGAAGAAAATCTCTCAAATCATTTGTAAAAAGTATAAACAGTAAAGGATCCAGTACCGAATCTTGTGGGACACCTGTTCCAATAGGATCCCACTCAGATTTTTCACCATTTTGTCTATAAGCAGGTGCCGACAGACCAAAAGATTTTAATTTTAATAACAATGGACTATGAGGAACCATGTTAAAGGCCTTGCTAAAGTCAAAGAAAATAATTATAGTTACTTTCCTACTTTCAACACCATGAAGGATGTCATCAGTAATCTTAAGTAAAAGTGTTTAAGTATTTAATCCTTTTCTTATAGCCAGATTGAAATGGATCAAGAATATTATTAGACTCTACATACTTAATTAACTGAGTATGTACACACTTTTAAAGGCACTTTGACAGGCCACAGAAAATAGCAACCGGTCTATACTCTTCAGTATGTTGCGGTAGTTTAACTTTATTGACAGGTTTAATAAGAACATTCCTCCATTCATCAGAAAAGACTAAGGTTTGCAGAGACTGATTAAAAAGATCAAGAACATATGGCAGTAAAACAGGCATCGCTTTTTTAACAATACTGATAGAATAACCATCAAATCCCTGCGCTTCAGTTTTTATACCTTTTAAGGCATTTATAATGTTAGGACAAATGTCTTCAAAATAAAAAAAAATATCATTAAACTTGACATCAAGAGGAATATCAGAGAGATACCAAGGCGTTATATTATAAGACGAATTTCCACAAATAATTAAAAAATAATCATTGATTTCATTTACAGTAAAATTTAGAGGAAATTCATCAAATTTATTCTTCACACTACCAAGATGCCTCAGCTCTCTCCAGAGATCTCTCTGATCCGTTATACCCTGAAGCTTTTCTGCATTATAATTATCACTTTTCTCCCTTACTAAAAACTTAACTTTATTTTTAAGTACCGTAAAATGGGGTAAAGTCGGCCGGCGCTTTAAATCATTTTAAAGTTTAACTATTACTTTTTTCCAGAAGAAATCCGAGTTTTATTAAAAATGTAGTTAGAATTAATGTAAATTAATAAATGAAATACAATATTTAAGTGTTTAAAGCGCCGGCCGACTTTACCCGCAAACGCCGACTTTACCCCATTTTACGGTATTTTATATTTATTCTTAATTAAAATATTTCCCACTCTCTTCCATGCTCTAAAAGTAGAGTTTCTCTGTTTAATCA